TTTTTATTTGGTAAATTTAAAAAAAAAATCACAAAATATTATACTTTTTAAGTATATTTAGATTAGGTGTTTCTAAAAAATAAAATAAATACTTAAAATGTTAAAAAAAATTAGTACAAATAAAAAAATTCAATTTTTTGTGTGAGTTGAACTAAAGAAGATGATTATTATTTTCTTTAAAATGACATAGATAAAATATCTGTATTATTTTATTATTTTATATGTATAAAGGTTAATGTGCAAATATGTCAATTTAATTTAACAAGGGAGAAAGTGTAATTTTTCAAATGTGAAGAGGGGATCTGTATTAAACAAAAATCTCAAAGGGTATCAGTGTAATTTACCAAAAAAAAAATCCACATAAGTTCAGAAAAAACAAAATAGTAAAAAAATGTTTTTTTAAGCTAATTTTAGCTTTTTATTTTTATTTTTTAAATTTATCTACACAAAACGAACAGAAAAAAAAAAAAAAACTTTAACATAATTTTGAAAAAATATTTACTAAAGATAAAAAAAAATTCAAAAAAATATGACTTTTTTTTTGTTTCCAAACAAATTTTTTTTTTGGATTGGGGGGGGAGAGAAGTTTATCTCTCTTGAGTTGCAATACAATGAGGAAATAGATGTAAAATGTGCAATCAATTAGATGGTTGGAGTCCAAAATTGACGAGAGAGTCAGTGCATCTATTAGCTTCTCGAAATATATGATTAATTGAGTGCACTCCCAGATGATCAAAAAATTGTAGGTAACTGTAATGACATATGAAGTTACTGATAAGTTGATGATTGTTATTTGGTTCACCATATATGAGTTGGATAGCAATGAGAGCATCAGTTTCGACTGAGATGTTGGTGAATCCGTCGTCTAGGCAAAGTTTGAGCCCGTCTCTGATGCCCCAGAGTTCTGTAGTGATGATAAGTGGTTATGCCAATATTCCTTGTGAAACCAGTGATCCATCTCCCTAGGTTGTCTCTAATGATGCTACCACAACTATGTCCCATGGATTACCTTTGGCAGCACCTTCAGTGTTGAGTTTGAAAAGGCCTGGGTCAGGAGGTTTCCAAACAATATTCAGCTAGTTTAGTTTTGGTTTCAGAAAGTACTTTTTAGAAAATTTTATTTTTTTTATTTTTCATATATTTTTTTGTTTTTAATGAATTTTTTAATATTTTAAATAATTTTTTTAATTTTTAGACACACCTAACATAAATACACTTTAAAAAATATATATTTATGATTTTTTTTATAAAAAAATCACTAAATACAAAAAATATAAAAAAATAAAAATTCAGTACATTTTTCATATTTTTGTGTATTTATTAATTTTTTACAAATATTTTAGTATTTAGACACATCTAAATAAAGTGCATCTAAAAAAAGTAAAAAAATTACTTAAAATTTTAAAAATATTCACTAAAAATATATATATATATATATATATATATATAAAATAAAAAACTGAATTTCCAGAAAACTGAAACTAAACACACAGATTGTGAGTGTGTTCCAAACAACTTGGCATTCATGGTCCAACTTTTTTTCATCTCAGTTAGACGTCACTATAATATGTAAAAGAGTTTTAGAGACCAAGGCTGTGTTTGGAAAAAAGTTGTAATCATAATTCCACACTCATATTTAAGTATGGTGTTTGGTTACAACTTTCAAAAATTAATTTCATACTACTTTTGAAAACTCGTTTCAGAAGGGATTTTAATTTTGAAATTTGGCCTATCCGGTCGTCCAGCCGATTGACGAGAACAATGCAATTTTTTTTTGGCAATTGGCACATGTTATTTTTCATCTATTAAAATATTTTCTGAATTTTTTAAATTTTTTTTTGAGGTTTGAATAAATTTTGGATTGTATGTTTGATTATGAGTTGTAAGTTTTTGAATCAAATATCATATGTCACATCAATTATTCCAAACTCAATTCAAAACTCATATCTAAACAAATTTTTCACACTCAAATCATAATTTCAAAACTCACAAACTCAAAATACAACTCTATTATCAAATCATAATTCTAAAATTCTACTAAACGCAACCCAAATTTTTTCATTTTTTAAAGTGAAAATTTTGTTGCAAAAAACATTTATGAACCAATTTCTATCATCATGAGGATAGTTATTGAAAAGTCTTCTCAAAAAGTCGAAAACAAAACTTTTAGCGACAAAATTTTGAACATGTCACTAATACATACATTTTTAGGGACAAAATAATTTGGTCTCAAAAAGATGTATTTTTTAAGATAAAAAAATTGGTCCAAAAAAGATAATAATTTATCATTAATGTCTATTTTTCATTGCTAAAAATATAATAACAACACCTTTCGCAACAAAAATATTTGGTTACTAAAAAATAATTGTCCCTAAATTTTAGTCTCTAAAACTTTAATTTTTTTGTAAGAGCATCTCCAATGGATGGCTAAATCAGCTACCAAAGCCATAATATAGCAGCTTGGCAATCTGGGCTTCTCCAATGGCATGCTATAACAGCTGCCAAATTTGGCAACTGCCAAATCAAGTGCCAAACTTGGCAACTACTTTGGCAGCTGCCAAATCTGCCAAGTCACCCAAAATGAAACTGTTTTCTTTCTTCTGTCCTTCCCTCCTTCCCTTTCAGTTGAGATTTTCCAGAATGCATGAAGTTTTATATAAAAATATTGAACAAGAATGAACAAAACAGATTTCTCAAATAATTCATCAAAAATTAAACAAGAGCGAACAAAACAGATTTCTCAAATAATATTGAACAAGAATGAACAAATCAGATTTCTCAAATATTGAACAAGAATGAACAAAACTGTTTTCTTTCTCAGATTTCTCAAAATATTGAACAAGAATGAACAAAACAGATTTCATTCCAGAATTCATCAATATTCAATACCAGAATTCATCAAAAAACATATTCAATATTCAATTAATGATAAAAAATTTGATTTGAACAAAACAGATTTCATACCAGAATTTCATATTCCAACATAAAACAGATTTCCTAAAATTAATTTCATATTCAATATTTCATACCAGATTTCATAACAGATTTAAAAAATTTCAGGAATACCAACATAAATAATCTGAAATTAATTTCTCAAATAATCCATTAAAATCTGAAATAATCCAAAGAAAAATACCTAGATTTGATGGGGGGCTACGGCTTCGATCTGAAGAGGGTAGAAGATGAGGGTTAAAAAGGGTTGGAGAAGAGGGTTGAAGAGAGAAAACAGTGGCATCCGAAGCTGCAGTTTATCCGATCTGATCGGAAGCTGAAGTTTATCCGAAGCTCTGATCTTCACTCAGATCTTCACTCTGATCCGAAGCTCTGATCTTCATTCAGATTTTCACTCTGATCCGAAGCTCTCTCTCTCTCTCCCTCTGATCTTCACTCATCCGAAGCTCTCTCTCCGTCTCTGAAGTTTCCTCTAATCTTCCCTCTGATCTTCACTCATCCGAAGCTCTCTCTCTCTCTCAAGTTTCGAAGCTCTCAAATTGTCAAGAGTAGATGTGCAAAACTTTCCTAACTTTATTGATTAAAAAAAATATATATCTACAACGGCTCTTTAGTGCTACTTTATTCATTAAAAAAAATTAAATAAAAACATAACTGAAACATGACTACAATGGTTCTTTTTTATAAAAAAACATATCTGCAACGGATATAAAAAAACGGCTCTTTTTTTCTATAAATACAAACATTCTCTTCTCTTTTTTTACTCAATTTCATTTCACAACAAACTTTGTAAATTACATTTTTATTTATATTTTCTTTACACAATCGGTATGGAAGGTTCATCAAAAATAAAGAGAGGAAAATCATTCACCATTGCTAAAGATATGGCACTTTGTAAAGCTTGGTGTCACATTTCTAAAGATCCAATTGTTGGCAATTCACAATCTTATACTCACTTTTGGGAGAGAATTTATGAAAATTATTGCTCTCTTCAGAATGATCAGTCAAGAACACAAGTTTCTATCTAATCTCGATAGGGTACAATCATGAAATGTTCTAACAAATTTCGTGGATATTTAGCACAAGTCGAAAATCTACGCCCAAGTGGGATGTCTCAAGTTGATCTAGTAAGATTTCATCTTCATTTATTACGTTAGTTTTTATTTGGGCAAATTACATATACACCCCTCCAGGTTTGGTCAAATTACAGATACCCCCCTGAGGTTTCGGAAATTACATCTCGCCCCCTGAAGTTTGTATTTTCATAACAATTTACCCCCTGAGGTTTATATTTCATAACAAATTACCCCCTAATTTCTTATGCAAATATAGCATTCAGGGGGGAATTCGTAATTTCTCAAACCTCAGGGGGGTATCTGTAATTTTGTCAAACCTGGAGGGGTGTATATGTAATTTGCCCTTTTTATTTTATTTTATTTCATCTCATATAAAAATTAAATAATTACTTAATTCAATGTTGATACATATTTTATTTTATCTAGTAAGATCTCGTATTTTATTTTATTTTATTGATACATACTTAATTCAATATTGATACAGATGCTTCAAGCAAAATTTTTATACCATCAAGATGAAAAGAAACATTTTGCTTTTAAACATTGTTGGTCAATCTTGCAAAACAATATCAGGTAGCTGACATTAACTGACATTAAAAGACATTAACTGACATTAAAAGACATTGTAAAATAAAAAGACATTAACTGAAGAACATTTTATTAGAATAAAAAGACATTAACTAACATTAAATGACATTAACTGTCATTAAAAAGATAAAATGCAAACTTAATCTAACTCTCCAGCTCGGGACCACAAGTGTTCAATTAGATCATTACGAATTACATTATGGGCTTCAATAGATCTAATCCTTTGCCGATTCAATATAAATTGAGCATACTCGTCATTCGGATCACGTGACACTTGACAGCCCAAATTACTGGTATCAGTCTCAAGTTGTGCTACATTGGATTCATTTTCTGGAATAGTACGCTCGTCTTCAATGATCATGTTGTGCAAAATAATGCACGTCTTCATGATTTAGTACAGATCCTCATCACTCCAACCTCTAGCTGGCACGCTGACAATATTAAATCGTGCTTGGAGCACTCCAAATGCCCTTCGACATCTTTCCGACATGCCTCCTGCATCCTCACAAATAGTTGTCTCTTTGCGCCTTGAGGTTGAGATATTATTTTCACAATCGTTGCCCAACGAGGATAGATACCATCAGCAAGATAATACCCCATGGTGTATACGTGATTATTGATGGTGTAGTTGGCAGCAGGGGCACATCCTCTAGTTAATTCAGCAAATAAAGGCGACCTGTCAAGAACAGTAATATCATTTAGAGAGCCAGGCATGCCAAAGAAAGCATGCCAAATCCACAAGCCATAGGAGGCAACTGCCTCGAGTACAACTGTTGGTTTGTGATAGTGTCCAGTGTAAGCACCGGCTTGGGCACTTGGACATTTATCCCAACGCCAGTGCATACAATCCAAACTCCCTAACATTCTAGGAAACCAGCGTTGCTCTCCCTCTTGCAATAATCTGGCGACATCTGCTTCGTTTGGAGATCTTAAGTAAACGGCTTCATAGGTAGCAACAATTGATCTGGTAAAAAAATTTAAGGTGGCAATTGCAGTACTTTCGTCGATTTTAATGTACTCGTCTACAGCATCAGCAGGCACGCCGTATTGGAGGATCCGAAGTGCTACAGTCATCTTCTGTACACCGGATAATCCAAGAGCACCAATAGCATCACGGGTTTGGATAAAGTACTCATTCACTTGTTGAATATCGTGTAAGATACTAACAAACAATGACCGCCTCATTAGAAAATGTCTTCAGAAGTATTCTTCTGGATAAATAGGATTATCTGCAAAATAATCTCTATAAATTTGTTCGTCGCCTTTGACCCTCTCACGATTAATGTATCGACGACCACTTGTAGAACCAACACGTCTGGTGTGTTGGTTTAGGCTTAACATCTGTAATCTTTGTTGTTGCGCTGTGAATAGTTGCATCATGATGATATCATCATCAGATGATGAAAATTCATCAAAATCTCCATTTAATATGGCTTTACTCAAATTGTTCATTGTAGGTGCATGGGTGAGTGAGTGAATATAAAAATTGTAGAAAATCTTTTTGGTGGGTACAAAGAGTTTTGAAGATATAAAATGATAGGTAGGTGAATATGAAAATTGTAGAAAACCTTATATTATATTTAGAGAGAAAATTATGTGTGAGTGAATGATGGATGGTTGTTGGGTGGGTGGATGAATAATGAGTGGTTGTTGGGTGGGTAGATGAATAATGGATGGTTGTTGCGTGAGTGGATGAATAATGGGCGGTTGTTGGGTAAGTGAATGAATAATGGATGGTTGTTGGGTGAGTGGATGTGAGTGAATGAATGCTGGGTTAATAATGGATGGTTGTTGGTGGTTAGTTGTTGGTGGGTAATTGGTGATTGTTTATTTTTTATGTGTAGTCAAAAAAAATTATTAAATATGTAGTGATGTTTTTTGGTGGGGTGAATTAATCAAAGAAATTTTTTTTTTCCAATTTTTCATTTTTTTTAAATTTTTTATATTTGTCTAGGTGGGAATAATATAAATATATAATTTTTTTAACAAACAGATAAAAAAATGTCACAAAAGACAAAAAATAAATAAAAATAAAATCACAAAAAATTTATATCCAAACAACACCTACAAACTTGGAGGGAAAGTTAATTGAGATTTGCCAAAAATAATAAATGACTATTGGAGCACCATTACTATAATTTGGCAAAATAACACTATTCATTGTCAAATTATAACAATAACAATAATAAAATAGCAATAACCATTGGAGATACTCTAATGTGTACACGATTGCACCCATTTTTTTTTCCTGAGAAAATATAAATATCACCATCAATGAAAAAAATATTAAGACAAATTTTACTTTATGTACGAACTAGCATAACACCCGTGCTATGCACGGATTGTGTTTCACCACTTTGTCTTTTTTTTTTTTATACTATATTAAAATTTCATATTTTGATACCAATCATATGTGTTGGACTTTTCAATGAATTTTTTTCATGCTTGTTCTTAATGTATTAAAATGTTATTATGAGGGATAATAATCATGTGTTAAATTTTTCAAGGAATTCATATGTATTTCACAATTATTTTTATATATGTGAATTGTGATTTTTAAATGTCTTTTTTTTAAATGTCTTTTTTTTATATTATATTAAAGTGTAATATTTTGATAATAATCATATGTGTTGGACTTTCAAGAAATTCATATGTGTTGGACTTTCAAGAAATTCATATGTGTTGGACTTTTCAAGGAATTTTTTTTTTATGATTGTTCTTAATGTATTAAAGTGTTATTATGAGGGATAATAATCGTGTGTGTTGGGACTTTTCAAGAAATTTATATGTGTTGGACTTTTTAATTTTTTTTTTTTTTATACTTGGGGGTTGGGAGAAGTTAATAAATGCTAAGGTTTTTTTTTTTAAATAAAAAATCCAAAAATTTAGATTGGGATATTGGAGTTCCCACAAGACTTGGGGGGTTAGAAACCCCATTTTTCTTAATATATATAGATAGATAGATATATAGATATTTTTATTTTATTTTTGTGTGGTTTCTATTCGGGTATTTTTTTTCCAATTTATTTAAGATGGAGTTGTGGGTATCTTTTTTTTTAATTTAATTTATCTGCGATTTCCATTTGTTTTTAATTATTATTATTTAGGTAAGTTATGATGTGAGTTAGATATGTAATAGACATGTGAGTTTTATTAATTTAAAGTTTAAAAAAAAAATTAGTTTTTTTTGTTATGTTATAATAGAATATATAAAATATAGGTAGATATCTATAACTTTAATAAAAAATATTATCTGATTTTTTTAGAAAGAGAAAAAGAATGTAAGTTTTAATATTTTTTTTTGAAAATTTGTGAGAGAGATTAGAAGAGAGAGATTATGAAATATTTTTGTTATTAAATAAATAAATCAGTCAATAGTTTTTTTAAATCTATTTTGTAAATTAAAAATAAATAATTTTGAAAAATTGATTAATTTTTCCCATTAAGTGATTTAAAATTTTGATAGATATACATAAAAAAAATACATAATTATATTATTGAATCATAATTCAAATTTAGATGTTATATCTTTTTGAGATTTATAGCTAAATTCTTATTTTTTTTATTTTTGTGTGTAACCATAGTGTATGGGAGAAAATGAAAAAGGTGTTGCAATAATTATGAGAGAAGTCAAAAGGGATTGTGAGTTGGGAGATGTCAATAAATGCTGAACTTGGGTTCGGAGAAGTCAATAAATGTTGAGATTTTTTTTTTAAATCAAAAATTAAAAAATTAAGATTAAGAGATTGGAACTCCTACAGGCCTTAGGATTAAAAACCCCTTTTTACTTAATATATAGTATGAATTATTCCCTCTCATTTAGGCTGAGATGTTGGTGAATCCGTTGTCTAGGCAAAGTTTGAGCCCGTCTCTGATGCCCCAGAGTTCTGCAGTGATGATAAGTGGTTATGCCAATATTCCTTGTGAAACCAGTGATCCATCTCCCTAGGTTGTCTCTAATGATGCTACCACAACTATGTCCCATGGATTACCTTTGGCAGCACCATCAGTGTTGAGTTTGAAAAGGCCCGAGTCAGGAAGTTTCCAAACAATATTCAGCTGGTTTGGTTTTAATTTCCAAAAAGTACTTTTTAAAAAAAATTATTTTTTATTTTCTGTAATTTTTTGTTTTCAATCAATTTTTTAATTTTTAGACATATCTAACATAAATACACTTAAAAAATATAACATTTGTGAAAAATATCTTTAAAAAATTCACTAAATACAAAAAAGGTAAAAAAATAAAGTTCAATACATTTTTCATGTTTTTGCGCATTTATTAATTTTTTAAAATATTTTTTCACAAATATTTTAGTACTAGCGTATGCCCGTGCCTAAAGGCACGGTGTAAATAATTTTAAGATAAAAATGTAGTTATAATTTAAAATGCAGCTAAATTTACAACACCATATGTATCTCATTCTATGAAATCTTGATGTGCAAACTTTGATTTATTCTAAAAGTAGTAATTAAGGAGCATGCCTTGACATGGGCCCTGTAGTAGGTTTTGAGAGTTGGATGAGTGAAGAAATCATCTGAAGTCAAATTCAAGCCAGCAGCTTTACCCCATTTCATGTATTGTGCTTTGCCACCATATGCATCCCAGTTGTTGGTTAATGATAATATGAGTCTGATCTTGTACTTCCATGCTTCACTGACTACAAAATCCAAGGCCTGTAATTCATTGAGAAAAAATAAAAGAAAAGAAAAGGAGGAGGAATTTATATACTCACTCCATAGTAAATGCTTACTTAATTGCCTACATTTACAGTCATTGAGAAAAAGAATGACCTTAAAAGCATTTTCATCATAGACAGAGGGTGAAATTTGAAGAGCTCGCCATTGGCCATCGTTGAAAGCCCAAGTACGACAAACAGTTTTTTTCTTTTGTTATTTCTTTAACAGAGCAACAAAAGAGATAAAAAAACAAAGCAGTTGGCTCAACTATTTTTTCTTTAACAAAGCAACTATTTTCTTTAACAAAGCAGCCATGATATAGTCTAAACCATAGCAACCATGGTATAGTCACTTTGTTAACAGAGCAGCAATATTTTCTTTAACAAAGCAACTATTTTCTTTAACAAAACAGATCAGTTGGCTCAATAACAAAAGAACAAAATTCACCTGTATATATCAGTTGGCTCAATATCAAAGCAAAGCAATAACAAAAGAAATAACAAAAGCTGAGAGAGGAAAAAGAGTGATGTCGAGCAGCCAAACATTACCAAAGCATTGAGCAGCTGAGCAGAAAAAAAACATTGAGCAAAAAAAAAATAAGAACCAAAGTAATAAACTAACCGAGCAGCCGAGCAGGATGTCGAGCAACCGAAGTGAATAGCCGAGCAGCCAAAGTGGTATCTAGAAAATGCACAACATAATTTGGCTAATAGGCAAGATAAACATCATTTTTGGAGTATGTCAATAGACTAAACGATAAAGATACCGATGACAATAGTTGTAGGCACGCATCTTGTACAACTGACTGGCTATTTGCACTCTCACAAATAAAATTTCCTCCATAGGCCATGCAACATCAAGTAATAACCCTGGTGTAAACTGTTATACAATATGTTTTAGACTGTGAAACTATCAACCTAATGAACAATACTTCACATCCACCTTGAAGATTGCAAGTTCAGCTGGGAATTGTCACTGAAGCCCCAAAATTTTGTATGATCAAGATAGAAACTGATGACAGATCATATATTAACGGACCCAGGAAAAGGTCTACAAAAGTATATATAGCGCATAGCTCCAAAAAAATAGTAATAATAATACAAAGCAAACTTTGTATATAGTAAACAGGTTTGGTCAAAGCTATCACTCGCTTGTAGCATAAAGAGCACAATTTAAAAATCAAATAAGCTTGAAATTGAATGAACAATATACAGAAAATCATGGAAAGCACAAAAACAATATACTAACACCAATTGTACAGAAAAGGACAATATAAAACACAAAAACTCTGACAAAAAATTGAATGAACAATTCGGCATTCTAACATGGGTGAAAATCCAGAAATCAAGATCTGAGTTCAAAGATCTTGATGACACATATGCTGAAAAAAAAAGAAATAGAACACGAAAATATAGTAAACACAAAGTAGCTTGATCTGTTTGCCATAAGAATATAAACATTCTACTACATAACTGGATAAAAAAATATGAAAAGAAAATACCTCGTAGGGCCAACCATCAACAACAAAGACATCCAAGGAGTACCCGTCTACAGTAGAAAAAACATGTGCTTCCTAGATGTTCAGCCCAACCTCGCCTAGTAAGGCAGTCAACTGCAGAATTCTACTACTCAGTGATCGTGTGGTGGAGGCACTATATGATATTATCAAAAGGAGTTTACTTTTTTGTTCTTTAATATTGTACTAAAATAAGCAAACATGCAAACTACCTGACTGAGGAGCTTCGGCTTGTCATCTGTTGAAAATGTAATTTCATGCATGGGCCTGCATGATTGTCAAAAGCACATTAAAGTATAAGCTACATAATGCAAATTAATGAAATCAGTGTAGCAATTGTTCCATAAAAATCCATGTGAAATGCTTTGAACTCTTACAGAACCACCAAAGATGTCCAGAAAATATCAAAAATTGGGGCCAAAATGAAGCATTCAGTGAATTTCAGCAATATTTACCGGGAGTACTGTACATGGGAAACAACACTATCCCCATCTTGAACTTGAGATTTGTTTGCTTCAAGTGCAAGCGCTTCAAGATTAGGAGATGAACCAAAGGCAGGTGGCAGCTTAGGAATGAACCTTTGGGCACCTTCGTCCCTGGGAGAGCTAAAATGATCAAAATCAACTGTATCTCCATCAGAGATGGGAGAAACCTGCATGTGACAGTGATAGACAAAATGCATTCCATCAAGCAACAAAATTTAGACCAACTATTCTAATAAAAACTCCTATAAAAAAAACCGTGGAAAATCATGGAAAGCAAGGGTCATGTTTCATTCTTAATACAATGCAATGCTCTAGAACATGGATATTTAAAAAATATGGAGCAGTTGGACAAACGCTGAATATATACAAACAAATTGGAGGGAATAACCTGAAAATCATAAAAGAGAATTCTTGATATATACATCACTCAGATTGAAACAGTGACCAAACAAAATTACACCAGAATCCAAGCAAATCAATCCAAACAAAATTATTAGGGTAACACCATAATAATTGAATCTCATTCTCCAAGCCAAGTCTGGCAATGGTAAGGAAGATCGAAGGTGCTGTGATTGTGTGAAACCACATTTATAAATTGAAGGCACTTTATGGGTACTTTTTTCCGGGAAAAAATCCGTACACACAATAACATGAATATAAACAACAACAACAATAATATCCAATCGAATATAATCGAATTTCACAATGAACTCAAAAAAACCCCTAAAATTAACCAAGCAATAACATGTTTTCCCTGCAGCAACGCCCCAAAATAAACAAAATTAAATCACCCAAATCCATTTGCTTTACATAAACATAGAATTTTTCATCAACATGATTGAATTTTCTGTACTTACAAACAAACCCATTTGCAAACTAATTCATCACAGTAGTGTGAATTATTTCAAAACCCATTTTCTGAATCCACAAAAACCCTCAACTAAACACACCCAGAGTGAGAAACACAAATCAATACACCACTTCACACACACACACACACACACACACACACATACATCAGGAATTCATGAATATGAGCTAAGAAAATAACATGTTTTCCTTGCAGCAATGCCCCAAAATAAACAAAATTAAATCACCCAAATCCATTTGCTTTACATAAACATAGAATTTTTCATCAACATGATTGAATTTTCTGTACTTACAAACAAACCCATTTTCTGTAATTTTCTGTACTTAATCGTACCTTGCAAAGAGGCAAAGAGGGTTTCGGCGAGATCTGTTGCGAGGAGGAGAGGACTGAAGTGATAAAGGGGGATGAGGAAGAGGTTGTCGTGATGGCGGTGGTCGAGGGATCTGTTGAAGAAGGAGAAACAGAGAGGGTCCTGCGAGGGAAGAGAGGTGGTCGCAATGGCGGTGGTCGAGAGGGTTCTGTTGAAGAATAAACAGAGAGGAAGAGAGGGAGAGAGATAAAGAAGGAAGGAAGAGACGTGCGTGAGAGCAGAGGGGAGAGAGAGATGTGGGTAGGTGTGAAGGTTAAGAAGAGAAGTGTTTGGGCGGGAAATAAATAATTCAGAGCCGTTGATATATACTGAAGATTGATCTCAGCCGTCTAGATTAAATGTATCTCTAAGACATTTTTATACATTTTCAAAAAACCTATTGCCTTATTATATAGATTTAGATACATCTAAGTAAAGTGCATCTAAAAAACTAAAAAATATAAAAAACAAAAAAACTCAATTTTTAGAAAACTAAATTCAAAAAGCTGAAACCAAACACACTAATTGCAAGTGTGTTCCCAAACAACTTAGCATTCATGGTCTAGCTTTTTTTCATCTCAGTTACATGTCACTATAATATGTAAGAGTTTTAGAGACTAAATTTTTTTGTTTTTAAAAGTGAAAATTTTGTTACAAAAAATATTTATGAACTAATTTCTATCATCATGAAGCTAGTCACCAAAAATTTTTCTCAAAAAGTCAAAAATAAGACTTTTAGCGAGAAAATTTTGAACATGTCACTAATAAATACACTTTTAGGGAAAAAATAATTTGATCTCAAAAACATTTCTTTTTTAAGACAAAAAATTTGGTTTCAAAAAGATAATAATTTATCATTAATGTCTAATTTTCGTTGCCAAAAATATAATAATGACACCTTTCGCAATAAAAATATTTGGTTCCTAAAAAATAATTGTTCCTAAATTTTGGTCTCTAAAATTTTAATTTTTTGGTAATGTGTAGACGATTACACCAGATTTTTTTTTTTTTTTTTTTGAGAAAATATAAAAATCACCATCAGTGAAAAAATATTGGGACAAATTTTACTTTATGTGCAAATTATTCCCCCTTATTTGGAAACAATCATATAATCATTTTGTAGTTTGTGAACTGAAATGAACCGTTAGACTTAACAAAAATGATTAAAATACCCATGTGTGTGGACTACGGATATTTTTATCATTTGTTTGGTATGCAAAATACACTTTAACCCTTTGTTCTTTATTTATGTGCGATTATTCCTTTAAAATTTAAAATGAGCATATAATTCCCTTCTATTTGGCACGTGTTTTACATTTACTATTAAATTAGATAGAATATTTAATGGTGTCATTCAATCCATAACCCATAAGAGGTTATGTGATAATTTTTAAATGAGAGGGGTAAACAGCACATAGATAAAAATATAAGGAAGTAAAATGATAAGAGGTTATGTGGTTATTTTCAAATGGTATATATTATATGTACTTTATATTTAAAAAAAATGACATAATTTTATATTTTTTGAGTCGAGAAATGCTATGTATTCTAAATGTTATACTAAATATTCTATCAAACCTCTCATATGGGGTGAGATTCACACAAATCCACATGTGTGTGGGTCCCACACCCATGTGAGAGATTTAGTATAATGTGCCTGTTTGGCAGAGCTTAATTACAGCTTATTTCAGCTTTCAGCTTAATTTAAGCTATTTTGATGTGTTTAGTTTAGCTTATTTAGATTGATATGCATTTTGTTGAATATAGAGGCATGTGTACTTGTAAATGTCAGTTTGTCAAGAAGGTTAGTGAAATGTAACTGAATGATTGGAATCATAATCATTGAAACTGATATCAAATGTTTTTCTTCCCTCTCTGATCTTATGTTGTTGCCTATGATGTGCAAATTTAGATTGATATGCATTTTGTTGAATATAGAGGCATGTGTACTTGTAAATGTCAGTTTGTCAAGAAGGTTAGTGAAATGTAACTGAATGATTGGAATCATAATCATTGAAACTGATATCAAATGTTTTTCTTCCCTCTCTGATCTTATGTTGTTGCCTATGATGTGCAAATTTAGATTGATATGCATTTTGTTGAATATAGAGGCATGTGTACTTGTAAATGTCAGTTTGTCAAGAAGGTTAGTGAAATGTAACTGAATGATTGGAATCATAATCATTGAAACTGATATCAAATGTTTTTCTTCCCTCTCTGATCTTATGTTGTTGCCTATGATGTGCAAATTTAGATTGATATGCATTTTGTTGAATATAGAGGCATGTGTACTTGTAAATGTCAGTTTGTCAAGAAGGTTAGTGAAATGTAACTGAATGATTGGAATCATAATCATTGAAACTGATATCAAATGTTTTTCTTCCCTCTCTGATCTTATGTTGTTGCCTATGATGTGCAAATTTAGATTGATATGCATTTTGTTGAATATAGAGGCATGTGTACTTGTAAATGTCAGTTTGTCAAGAAGGTTAGTGAAATGTAACTGAATGATTGGAATCATAATCATTGAAACTGATATCAAATGTTTTTCTTCCCTCTCTGATCTTATGTTGTTGCCTATGATGTGCAAATTTAGATTGATATGCATTTTGTTGAATATAGAGGCATGTGTACTTGTAAATGTCAGTTTGTCAAGAAGGTTAGTGAAATGTAACTGAATGATTGGAATCATAATCATTGAAACTGATATCAAATGTTTTTCTTCCCTCTCTGATCTTATGTTGTTGCCTATGATGTGCAAATTTAGATTGATATGCATTTTGTTGAATATAGAGGCATGTGTACTTGTAAATGTCAGTTTGTCAAGAAGGTTAGTGAAATGTAACTGAATGATTGGAATCATAATCATTGAAACTGATATCAAATGTTTTTCTTCCCTCTCTGATCTTATGTTGTTGCCTATGATGTGCAAATTTAGATTGATATGCATTTTGTTGAATATAGAGGCATGTGTACTTGTAAATGTCAGTTTGTCAAGAAGGTTAGTGAAATGTAACTGAATGATTGGAATCATAATCATTGAAACTGATATCAAATGTTTTTCTTCCCTCTCTGATCTTATGTTGTTGCCTATGATGTGCAAATTTAGATTGATATGCATTTTGTTGAATATAGAGGCATGTGTACTTGTAAATGTCAGTTTGTCAAGAAGGTTAGTGAAATGTAACTGAATGATTGGAATCATAATCATTGAAACTGATATCAAATGTTTTTCTTCCCTCTCTGATCTTATGTTGTTGCCTATGATGTGCAAATTTAGATTGATATGCATTTTGTTGAATATAGAGGCATGTGTACTTGTAAATGTCAGTTTGTCAAGAAGGTTAGTGAAATGTAACTGAATGATTGGAATCATAATCATTGAAACTGATATCAAATGTTTTTCTTCCCTCTCTGATCTTATGTTGTTGCCTATGATGTGCAAATTTAGATTGATATGCATTTTGTTGAATATAGAGGCATGTGTACTTGTAAATGTCAGTTTGTCAAGAAGGTTAGTGAAATGTAACTGAATGATTGGAATCATAATCATTGAAACTGATATCAAATGTTTTTCTTCCCTCTCTGATCTTATGTTGTTGCCTATGATGTGCAAATTTAGATTGATATGCATTTTGTTGAATATAGAGGCATGTGTACTTGTAAATGTCAGTTTGTCAAGAAGGTTAGTGAAATGTAACTGAATGATTGGAATCATAATCATTGAAACTGATATCAAATGTTTTTCTTCCCTCTCTGATCTTATGTTGTTGCCTATGATGTGCAAATTTAGATTGATATGCATTTTGTTGAATATAGAGGCATGTGTACTTGTAAATGTCAGTTTGTCAAGAAGGTTAGTGAAATGTAACTGAATGATTGGAATCATAATCATTGAAACTGATATCAAATGTTTTTCTTCCCTCTCTGATCTTATGTTGTTGCCTATGATGTGCAAATTTAGATTGATATGCATTTTGTTGAATATAGAGGCATGTGTACTTGTAAATGTCAGTTTGTCAAGAAGGTTAGTGAAATGTAACTGAATGATTGGAATCATAATCATTGAAACTGATATCAAATGTTTTTCTTCCCTCTCTGATCTTATGTTGTTGCCTATGATGTGCAAATTTAGATTGATATGCATTTTGTTGAATATAGAGGCATGTGTACTTGTAAATGTCAGTTTGTCAAGAAGGTTAGTGAAATGTAACTGAATGATTGGAATCATAATCATTGAAACTGATATCAAATGTTTTTCTTCCCTCTCTGATCTTATGTTGTTGCCTATGATGTGCAAATTTAGATTGATATGCATTTTGTTGAATATAGAGGCATGTGTACTTGTAAATGTCAGTTTGTCAAGAAGGTTAGTGAAATGTAACTGAATGATTGGAATCATAATCATTGAAACTGATATCAAATGTTTTTCTTCCCTCTCTGATCTTATGTTGTTGCCTATGATGTGCAAATTTAGATTGATATGCATTTTGTTGAATATAGAGGCATGTGTACTTGTAAATGTCAGTTTGTCAAGAAGGTTAGTGAAATGTAACTGAATGATTGGAATCATAATCATTGAAACTGATATCAAATGTTTTTCTTCCCTCTCTGATCTTATGTTGTTGCCTATGATGTGCAAATTTAGATTGATATGCATTTTGTTGAATATAGAGGCATGTGTACTTGTAAATGTCAGTTTGTCAAGAAGGTTAGTGAAATGTAACTGAATGATTGGAATCATAATCATTGAAACTGATATCAAATGTTTTTCTTCCCTCTCTGATCTTATGTTGTTGCCTATGATGTGCAAATTTAGATTGATATGCATTTTGTTGAATATAGAGGCATGTGTACTTGTAAATGTCAGTTTGTCAAGAAGGTTAGTGAAATGTAACTGAATGATTGGAATCATAATCATTGAAACTGATATCAAATGTTTTTCTTCCCTCTCTGATCTTATGTTGTTGCCTATGATGTGCAAATTTAGATTGATATGCATTTTGTTGAATATAGAGGCATGTGTACTTGTAAATGTCAGTTTGTCAAGAAGGTTAGTGAAATGTAACTGAATGATTGGAATCATAATCATTGAAACTGATATCAAATGTTTTTCTTCCCTCTCTGATCTTATGTTGTTGCCTATGATGTGCAAATTTAGATTGATATGCATTTTGTTGAATATAGAGGCATGTGTACTTGTAAATGTCAGTTTGTCAAGAAGGTTAGTGAAATGTAACTGAATGATTGGAATCATAATCATTGAAACTGATATCAAATGTTTTTCTTCCCTCTCTGATCTTATGTTGTTGCCTATGATGTGCAAATTTAGATTGATATGCATTTTGTTGAATATAGAGGCATGTGTACTTGTAAATGTCAGTTTGTCAAGAAGGTTAGTGAAATGTAACTGAATGATTGGAATCATAATCATTGAAACTGATATCAAATGTTTTTCTTCCCTCTCTGATCTTATGTTGTTGCCTATGATGTGCAAATTTAGATTGATATGCATTTTGTTGAATATAGAGGCATGTGTACTTGTAAATGTCAGTTTGT